GCATTATGTCCTGGAGGAAGGACAAGAGGGAAGGACAGTGTGGCATGGGTTGGGAGGTGGTGTCAGTGAGCTGGGGGTCAGGATGCTGGGGGCCGTCCTGACCTGTGCAGTGCAGGAGGAGAGTGAGGAGGAGGAGCGGGGCCCAGGCCATGGTGCAGACACCCCAGAGCTCTGCCGAGGCTGACAGGCTGCAGGTGTCCCTTATCCACCCTCCAGGCCCAGAGGAGGGAGAGGGGCCCTGCATGCAAATGTGCTCCTCCTCCCCTGCCCTCCAAACCCCCCTGGCCTGTGGGCAGCCCCAGTGGCTTGGTGTCATTTCTGAGAGGGGCGGGCTTTGGCTGGGCATGTCCTGATGGTCCCCAGGGCCTCAAAGAGCACCCAGCTGCTGACACCAATGAGCTCTGAGCAGAACCCAGGTTCAAGTATGTGCTTTCCCAGCTGAGCCCCACAGAGCAATCAGTCACAGGCCCACAGCGCCCCCTGCTGCCCAGGCCCAGGTGCAGTGTGTCTGTCACCAGATGCCAGGGGGTCCTGACAGAGTCTCCTGTCCCCACCAGGGCCTTGATCACTGCCCGGTCCCTGCCCAAGGACAAATTGAGGGCCCTCCTCTGGGCAGCTCCTACCATGTGTCAGTCTTTAGTTTTCTATTTCTGACTTATCAGTGGGAACAGGACACACGACCCACTCCACTTTAAAAGGGGAAGGGGTGTCCCCAACACAAACCGTCCATGAAGCCACTTCCCAGACTGCTGAATCAGGTGTCTCCCTCCTCACGTGATTCCTCAGGAGGTCACACAGGGACAGAATGGGAGTGTCTGGAGGACAAATGAGCAGGCTTGGTGACTCACTGGGTTCCCTGGGGGATGAGGACAGACCCAGGGAGGAGAAGGGGAAGGTCCCTGAGTGATCAGAAAAGGGAATCAGCTCACTGTGGGCTTCTTCTGAAGTGTGGGGTCAGAGAAGTTCAAGAGAAATGGAGGACATCAGTGATAACTTCCAAGGAAAGATCTAAAAATATGTCCATGGCCTTTCTCAGATAAAGACCTTGGTGATTTACTGAGGAGCTCAGAGGAGAGAAGGGAAGGGGAATGAAGGAGAGAGACCCGAGGGCTGAGAAGGGAAGTCGTGAGTCAGAGCCGGGAAGGGGAGGGTGAGGACGGTCCACACTGTAGCAGGGACTGGGCCAGTGGGGACATTGGGCAAGATCCAGAGGTGGGGTGGGGTTGACGGAGGTTGGGGTGTGTTTGTTTTCGTTTCTGTTTTGTTTCCTAAAGAAAGTGGAGCCTCTCCCAGCTCCTCAGCTGCCCTCTCTGGTCACCTCCCTGCCTGGACTCGGGGATTGTTCCTTAATCCATAGCCTTCAGTCCTCTCTGCAAAATATTTTTCTTGGATTTCTCTCCGCTAATGACTTTCCTTCTTATTTCCCACCATTCTTACATACTGGTGACATGAAAGTACACATGTGGATGTCTGGGGGAGGCACCTTTTAGAAATGCAGAATCTCAGGCCCCTCCACACCCCTGAGTCAGCGTCCACACGGTACAGGACCCCAGATGGTCCATGTGCACTTGAATGTCTGAGGAGCTCTGGTCTGACACAGGCGGGAAGGCGCTGGAGGGTTTGGTGATGGGTGTTCCTCAGGCCTCAGTCTGCTCTGCTTCCTGCCAGTGTGCCCAGCAAGCCGCCCTCCTGTGCCGCATTCTGTGCGTGATGCACCAGGCACGGTGCCCTCGGGCTGCCCACTGGCCACGTGGGCATCTGTCTCTGAGCTCACTGATCCACAGAGATGAACGAAGGGTGTTATTAATAGCGAGATGATCTTTTCATCTTTATATCTTGCTACTAGTGAACAAGTGAAATAATGTAAAAGCTACGATTTTGCATTAGTACTAAAATCTTATTTATATTATGCAGTGCTTATATAGTTATGCATTTTAAAGACAGAGGAATTCATTATATTCACATTATGTGATAAGTGTGGTCATGAAGTTTAGAAATATGAGCACGAATATGATCATACTTGTGGAAACGATTGAAGGCCAAGATGAAAGAATTGCAATAGAATTGAGAAACGTCGCTATATTACTGTTTGGTGTATTCACTTTCCAGCACAGCAATCACAATGTCGCACACACTGGGTGGTCTAAAGGACAGGCGTGCATCGTCTCACAGCTCTGGAGCCTGGTCCTCCTAAATCCACAGGCAGCACCACGTTCCCTCTGACACCTCCAGGGGGATCCTCCCTTCCCCCTTCCTGGCTGCTAGTGGTTTGCCACCAACCTTTCCTGTCCCTTGGCTTGAAGCTGCTTAAGTCCATTCTCCGCCTCCGTCACCGTATGGGGTTCTCTCCATGTTCCCGGTCTTCTCATGACCATCTTTTTAGGACACCAGGCAGAACTCATCAGGAGAGCACCCTGTAATGAATGTGTCACCTCATCCTAATGAATTTTATCAGCAATGACATTATTTTTTAAATAAGGTGACCTTAAGAAATACTATGGGTTAGGATTTCAACATATCTTCATAGAAAGATGTATTTAAACATAAAATTAAAGAGGAAGAATCTTTTTAAAAATGTTACCTTAATACATATGTTCTATTAAAACAGAACCTAATAAATTAAATTTATTAATATACAAAAAAGAGTTTCTTCCATTTACTCTTAGTTGGCAAAAACAGCATCATTTCTTATTTCTGAAAGAAATGTTTTTGACTTTAGCCTTTAAATGTGATCCAGGTGTTGCTGTTAGTTTGGGAACACGGAATAATTAAATTCTGCTTTTCGTGGTCCACTTCTTTCCAAATCATCCACAAATATCCTCCACCTTAAGACACAAATGAGAACAGGAGTCAATTCAGACCCTTCCATTCCCCTTCCTCTCTAAGGATGATCCACCTGTGGATTGTCCTCTCAGCGCAGGTGTCTGGTCATGTGATCCTGACATCATGTGATCATATTTGTACCCAGGCTCAGTCAAAGGCGTGTTTCGGTCTTGCTCCCCTGTGGGTCTCTCACTGTGTTGATCATCACTGCAGAGCAGCATGCAGCAGTCCTCAGCCTGGTCCTCAGGCTGGGCCCCTGAGCCAGTCAAGGCCGCTTTGTCCCCAAGGAGGGAGACTGAAAAACATGGGTGTCCAGGGGTGTTTGTTGCTTGCAACACAAAGCAATGTCCTGGAGACCTGGCCAGACTTCTGCTGGACCCAGTATGGATAGTGACCATTGGTGACTGCTCCAGTCACAGGGCAGAGGGACTGTCTCTCCTGCAGTTATGGTAGCAGGGCTGCTGAGTCACCACGGCCTGAACCCAGAACCCCAAGCCTAAACCAGCCATATGTTAGAAATGAGGAAGGAAGACAGAGGGATCCTTCAAAGGCTTCTCTCTGAAATCTTTAGGTGCCTGGGCAAAGAGCGAGAAGGGAGAGGAGGAGGAGAAGGAAGAGGAGGAGGAGGAGGAGAAGGAAGAGGAGGAGGAGGAGGAGGAGGAGGAGGAGGAGGAGAGGCACCCAGACCATGGTGTGAACTTCCCAAAGATCCCCAGGGCCCACAGCTGCTGCTGGACTCTGGGATGGTTCTTGTGTCTCCTCCTCAGCTGACTGGGCATTGGCTGTGTGTTTGGGTCGTGCATTATGCAAATATGAGCCCTTCACCAACACCACCAGCACCACCTGATTCTGTGTCCTTGGCCCGGGGGCAGCTCCTCTATCAGGGAGGCTGGTCTGGTGCGAGCTCTGAGTTTTTCCCTTGGGAGGAAGCAGCTGCTGTCACCTCTTACTCAGGCCAGTGAGCAGGGGCCCAGGGACCATTAAATTTGAACCATTTGGTTTGTTTCAGGCCTGGCTCAGCTCTGAGAAGATCCGCAGCTCCCCCTGCTGGGCTGTGATAACTATTGTTTGTACTTTCTCTAGTTGTGTTAAATACCTTCCCTAATGCCTGAATTTTAGTTTCATAGTTACTTATTCTTGAGTCTCTCTAGAGTCTTTTTATTTCTGTAAAAAGATTTTATGATTCTGTAATTTCCACTTAGTTTGTTTTTATAACTTCTATTTTTTATGAGATTTTCTCCTTTCCTATTTGTTTCAAGAATATATGAAATAGGTCATCAAAGGGATTTTATGATTGCTAACTTAAATATATCAGCCATATAATTTTATAATCTGAATCTAATGAATGGGAACCAGAAACAGAGATTAAAACAACCTGGTCCCATGTCCAGCTGGATGGTGTCCACATGATGCAAAGTCAGGGGATTGCAGATGTCTGAGGACAGGCCTGTCACTGAGTGGTTTCAACCAGAGCTGACCTTGCCCCCCAGGCTGGGGACATTTGGCAGTATCTGGAGACAGTTTTGTTGTCACAAATGAGGGGGGAGTGTTATTGGAGACCAGAGATGCTACTAAGCATCTTACAATGTGCAAGACAGCTCCCGACACAAACTGTCTAGGTTCACTTTTCAGACACATTGTTTGAAACTCAATCCACCGCGTGGGTTGACTATAACTGTCTTAGAAGATAAGCCGTCCAGATGTGGAAGATGAAGTTGATACACTGAAGGAAAATATGGGAAATTGTGAGAGGCCAGTTCCAACTCAGGCATCCAGGAGGGACAAGGGAAGAGCCGGACACCCTGGTGGGGACAGGCTGAAGGCAGAGCCAGGGCGAGGATGCCCTGGGGGGTTTTTGTCTCACTTCCCCATGGTCCGGAGCACTGTGTGACTAGCACTGCTATCATAGGACTGACAGTAGTAGTCGGCCTCGTCCTCAGACTGCAGCCCAGAGATGGTCAGGGAGGCGGAGTTGGAGGAGCTGTCGATGGAGCCAGAGAACCGATCGGGGACTCCAGAGGGTCTTTGGTTATCATTGTAGATCACAGTGGTGGGGGCACTGCCCGGGCGCTGCTGGTACCAGTGCACATAGTAGCTGCCAATGTTGCCGCTGCTGCGGGTGCAGGAGATGGTGACCTTCTGCCCTGGAGACCCCGACACAGAGCTGGGCTGAGTCAAGACAAAGTTGGCCAAAGACCCTGCAAAGAGGAAGGGACACAGAGTTCAGTGAGACAGATCAGGTCCTGTTTCAAAGAGGAGGGAGAGATCATCACCCCAGGTGACATCCAGGAGCCCTCCCTGAATTCCCTGCGTGCAGCCACCTGTGCAGTGAGCGAGGAGGGTGAGGAGGAGCGGAGGAGCCCAGGCCATGGTGGGGACACCCCAGGCTCTGCTTCCTGAGCTGACAGCCGGGACTGAGCCCACCAACCCTCCTTATCTGTCATTCTGATGCTCAGGGTGGGAGGTATGCATGCAAATTTCTTCCTTTCTGGAAGCTGCACAAGCCCCATCTTAGACTTCACACTAGCTGTGGCTGCGAGATGCAGACACTGTACCGGGGGAGGGCTACACCACCCAGAGGGTAGAGGAACACCTGCAGGTGGGGCGGGGGACACAGCCGAGCCCCTGGGGAGCCTGACCAGGTGTTGAGACCACAGCGCCCTCTGGTGAACATGGGAGACACAGCGGCCCTGGGAAGGGGCTGGTGCTCAGGGTTCCTGCCCTCCCCATCCTGCACCCCTCACAATTCCAGACACTGTCCCAGGGTCTCTCCTCGCCATCCTGTGCTGCCTGCATGTTTAAACCTCCAAATCTGTCCAGATGCTCTAAGGGCCACTACTCTGGGGAAGCCATTCTGATTCCCTTTCTGTCATTGGAGGTGTGAGCATCACAGGCAGAATGGGCTGAGTGTGGAAGGAAAGAGAAGGGAGGGCCCTGCCTTCTCCAGGAGGGCCCACATGAAGCAAAGTTGCACTGAAAGGAGATGCAGCCATTCGGGCAGAGAGAGCCTAGGACCAGAGACAGGATCTCACCATCAGCAACACCGTGAGAGAAGGAGACCCTGACGAGGCTGGGAGGGGAGGGCCCAGGGGGGAGTCAGGGGAAAATTTCAACAGAGCCCATCATCAATAAGTACTGTGGACAAAACATGAAAAGTTAGTAGGCTACAGTGTGTAAAAGTGATTGGAGGAGAGAATCTGTGCAGCTAGAGATTGATCAGATCTGTGAGTAAAATGAAGGTGAGTCAATGCAAATGTGCAGTGTCTTTCTGTGGCCTAGTCGGTGTTGCTGCTGCTGTCCTAGGAGGTGTGACATAGAACCTGTTTGGAGTACTGTGCTGAGGGTTTGTTTTTCTATCTTGGAAAACTATTCATAGGTAGCAGGTACTGAAGCAGATGGCAGTATGAAAGCAAAGCTCTGCAGGTACCAGCACTGGGCTGTGCTGTCACAAACATGGACTGTGCGTGTGACAACTCGGAGGGTGACAATGGAACCATGGGAGCCCCCACTGCTTACGGGGATAAAAAGGCATGAAAACTCATTTTAAGTTTGAGAAAAGTGTCATTTATGTATTCAAAAATTACGCATGTATTTGTGAAAATATATTTTAAACTCGCCTACTCTCCTCTGCTTGGTCACAGGTGGCAAAGTATTGTGGTGAGTCAGAAGAGAACCCCACCCTCAAACGAGGGGTGCGCTCACACCAGTGTCTCCTTTAATCATGAGGATGGAAAATCCTCTTAGTTCTGGTTTGTCACGTGTAACGTTCCCTGGGTTACGGAGTCACCGTCGTCATAACACTAGGGCTTTTGAGATAGTTGAAGATTTTGCACACTCTCCTCCCTCCTGCACCACCTCCTCCCACATTCTCCCCTGATTGGACCTTCATTTGTCTTTCTGTGACCATGACATGAAGCCCAAGATCAAGGACATCAAAGGAGAAATTTCCCAATGTTTTTCCCCATTTTGCACATTTTGAAATTTTGGGGTGTAGACCCAAGTTTATTCAACTCAATTTTTTCCAAATATTCTTGCATATTACATCTGAGTTACGTAGTTGTCTCCCTAGATTATCCCCAGATATTTAGATTTTAGATCTATTTTACTAACCCATTTATTAAGGCTCCTTTAAAGAAATATTTGACATCACATGTTCACTCGTTCACAGGAAGTATCAGACGTTTAATTCCCACAGAAAGAGTCAAGGATATACAAGGTGTGCACTTTTCCAACACAAGAAAGAGATTCACAAAATTGGTTAATGTCGGAAATTATACCTGGAAAAAAAAATGAGAACCTGCGTAATACAAAAGCTGTGGTTTATGTCGGAAGAAAAAAGCTCCGCCAGAGGGAATGTTTGGGTAGGATGGTCACTGTAGACTGCCAGTCCCTCCTGGTGTGTGTCTGCCCCACCTCCAGCCTCCTTGGATGAGGGAGGAGAGAAATAAGGACACT